GCAGCTTGGACTTCTTCCTTCAGTGCCATTGGTTCTTGATCATATGCTACCTCCTGATATGGTTGAACATCGACCAATTCTTTTTGATACAGTGACTCTGTGTATTCCTTCCATCTTCTTTTGATGCTTCCTGCATTGTTCAATACTTTGCTCATTGAATCCTTCACTATTGCAACTTGAGGCTTGAATTTTTTCTTCAGTTCCTTCAGCTTGAGAAATGCTGAGCATGTATTTCCCTTTTCGTTTTCTAAATCCAGGTCTTTGCACATTTCATTATAATACTTTGTCTTCTGGAGCCACCCTTTGAAATCTTCTGGTCAGCTCTTTTACTTCATCATTTCTCCCATTTACTTTAGCTATTCTACATTCAATAGCAAGTTTCAGAGCCTCTTTTGACATCCATTTTGGTCTTTTCTTTCTTTCCTGACTTTTTAACAACCCTTTGCTTTCTTCATGTATGATGTCCTTGATGTCATCCCACAAGTTGTCTGGTTTTTGGTCATTAGTATTCAATGTCTTAAATCTATTCTTGAGATGGTTTCTAAATTCAGATGAGATATACTCAAGGTCGTACTTTAACTTTCGTGGACTTGTTTTAATTATCAACTTCAGCTTGAACTTGTATATGAGCAATTGATGGTCTGTTCTGAGTTGGCCTCTGGCCTTGTTCTGACTAATGATATTGAGCTTCTCCATCGTCTCTTTCCACAGATGTAGTTGATTTGATTCCTATGTATTCCATTTAGTGAGTCAACCATTTATGTTGTTGAAGAGAGGTCGTTGCTCTTTGAAAATTCTATCCTGTGATCTCCAGTGTCGTTTCTATCACCAAGGCCATATTTTCCAACTAGTAATCCTTCTGTTTCCAGCTTTCACATTCTAGTCACTAGTAGTTATCAATGCATCTTGATTGTGTGTTTGATCAATTTCAGACTGTAGAAGTTAGTAAAAATCTTCAGTTTATCTTTGGCATTAGTGGTTGGTACGTAAATTTGAATAATGGTTGTATTAACTGGTCTTCCTTGTAGGTGTATGGATATCGCTGACAACATTGTACTTCAGGATAGATCTTAAAATGTTCTTTTTAATGATGAATGTGATGCCATTCCTCTTCAGTTTGTATTCCCAGCATGGTAGACCAACCGTATGACTGTCTGATTCAAAATGGCCAATTCCAGTGCATTTCAGCTCCCTAATGCCTAGGATATCTATCTTTACACATTCTGTTTCATTTTTGACAATTTTCAATTTCCCTAGATTCATACTCTGTACATTCCACTTTCCAGTTATTAATGGATTTTTACAGCTGTTTCTTCTCATTTTGAGTTGTGCCACATTAGTAAAGGAAGGTCCCAAAAGCTTTACTCCATCCACATCATTATGATTGACCCTGCTATGAGGAGACAGCTCTTCCCCAGTTGTATTTTGAGTGCCTTCCAACAAGAAGGACTCATCTTTGGGCACTATATCAGACAATGTTCTTCTGCTATTCATAAGGTTTTCACTGGCCAGTTTTTTAGAAGTAGCTCACTAGGTCCTTCTTCTTAGCCTGTCTTAGTATGGAAGCTCAGCTGAAAGCTATCCACCATGGGCAACCCTGCTGGTATTTAAAATACTGGTGGCATAGCTTTCGACATCACAGCAACATGCAAGTCACCACAGTATGACAAACTGACAGATGAGTGGTGGATCTATATGCTTATGATGCCCAAATTTCCATTTCCAGCCCAGTACTCTTCTTCAGACTCCTATATCCAGCTGCCACTGCACATCTCCACTTGGGCGTCTAATAAATGCTGGAAATGTAACATGTCCAGAGCTGAATCCCAATATTTGCCACCCCACCACCTGCTTGACTTGTGGACTTCCCCATCTCAGTTAATGGTGACTTCAGTCATCTTGTTGTTTTGTTGACTCCTGTCTTTCTTTCATATCCTTATCCAATCTTTTAGGAGATCCTGTTGGCTCTACTTTTAAGATATATCCAACTTCCACCACTTCTTACTACCTGCATTCCCAGTACTCAGGGCAAAGCCACCATCATCTCTTACCTGGATTGTTGCAGTAGCCTCCTGGATGGTCTCCCCTGTTTACACCATTGCCCCTTATGGCCTTTACTCAACACTGCCTACATTGTAAAATGAAAGTCCTGTCATATTACCTATCTGCAAAAAAAATCTTTAGTGGTTTCCTACTTTGCTCAGAATAAAAGCCAAAGCCCTTATATCAACCTGTAAGGTCCTATATGATCAGGCCACCTTGTTACTTTTCTGACCTCATCTCCTAGTGGTATCTGTTCCACTCTGCCTTATAAGCTTCCTTGCTGTTCTTGAAACACACCAGGCATAGCCCTACCTCAGGGTCTTTGCACTGGCTGTTCCCATTGCCTGGAACACTTTCTGCAATATCTCCATGGCCCATTCCCA